TATTATTATTATTATTATTATTATTATTATTATTATTATTATTATTATTATTATTATTATTATTGATTATTATTATTATTATTATTATTATTATTATTATTATTATTATTATTATTATTATATATTTTAAATAATAATTAACCTGCAAATTAACCCATTTATCCATTAATCTTCCCTCCGTGAACATACACAACAACCCATTAGATGTTACAAAATATGTATGATCTGTTTTTTGACAGCAAGTTGCATCAAGGAAATTGTTATCTCTTAAATCTCCTAGAATTCCTGATCGCCCATCTAATACTTGGACTGTTTTTGTTATTGATTGACCCTTATAGTTAACAATTATTATTAATAATTAACAATTATAATAAATATATTAAATGAAATTAAATATAAAAATTAATAAAAATTTATGAATAATATTTACTCCTTGCTTTTTTGGTAGATTTCCGTTCGCGTCAAAATACCAGAATTTCACGTGTCTTAATCCAGCTGTTACAAAATAAGCACCAGTTCGACTAAATGCTAATGTGTGAACTTTTGTAGTGATTTTATTACACGCGACTTTGGTACCACTTTTCCAATTCCAAACATTTAAATAGCCATCATGCTAAATGTTGAAATATTAAGAATCTATGAGGTTAATGTATTAAAATTCCATATTAAATAATTAAAATCACAAAACTTTTACTTACTTGGAATCCTAAAGATACAATCCATTTCATATTTGGAGAAAATTTAAGTGCCAGAACGCCATACTTATGTCCCTTTAATTCATTGACAAGGGTTCTTGATTGTACATCCCATATTAAGATACGTGGTTGATGACCAGCCTTTTAAAGATAAACCCACGAAAATAAAGTAAAAAAAATATATATATATATATATATATATATTATTTTAATGTTGTCATAATAATGTTTTATTATAACGGCAACTTTTATTACAAATGTTATTACACTCACAATATTATCACAATATTATCACAATTCTATAAATGATACGTTACCTCACCAACAGCCAAGTAATTACCATCGGGAGAAAAAGTGATACATGATATTGGTTTAGCTTTGTTACTAACAGGCGTCTTTTTAGAATTACTAGTAGTATTTCCATTATTAGCAGACTGTGGATCTAATAAACCCAATGATCCCAATGGATTTATTACACTATCTGTAGGCGTATGACGATTAGGAAATGCCGCAGACCAATTGGAAGTATTTGAATTGGTTTGCTGTATAGGAGTTGTACTTGATGACGCGTGTAAAAGTGCAACTTGTTTATTTTTCTTATGATTATAAAGTACAACTACTGAACCAGCAGCATAAGCTACAAGATCCAATGTAGGAGCCGTTGATAATACCGTAGGTTTTGAAGTAGTAAATCCAAGAATTCGTTCAAGTTCAATCTAATAATTTTTTTAATTAAAGATAATTATTATGAAGGATCAAAAGTATTTATTGTATTTTATGTATAATTTTTGATCAAAAGATCGTCTTGATACGAAATATATCTTTTATTTTTAAACGAAGTTATTATGATTTATTAAAATATATTAAAATATATTAAAATGTTGATTTCTTAATTATCAGACAAAATGTTCTGATTAATATGATCGAACATCGAAACAATTTCATATAATTTTATTATTGATAAATATAATATTGATAATATTGATATTGATAAATTAAAATGTTATAAACATTATAAAAACATTATAAACTTAAAAAAATAATACTAACAGCCGGTGTTGCGTTTTCATCTTTTTTTCTACGTCTTAGACCGTTTTTTTGTGGATAAACAGCAATGGTAACAGGTCTCGAAGATCTCGGAGCAAACATCTTCCTCGGATTTCTTTAGTGAAAATATGGTCTTTTTTTAGGAGGATATAATAAATTGTAGAAAGTGTTTCCGTTTACTTTTAAATATATTATATATATATTATTATATATTATTATATATATTATTATATATTATTATATATATTATTATATATACAAATATTAATATTTGAATAACAATTAAATAATATTCTTGTTATCTATTTTCTATTACTCTTAATTAATTATTTATTATTTAAATTGTGGGTTTTTGAGAAATTGAGTTGTTTCTTTTTGAAAATTCTTTTAAAGAAAAAGAAAAAATATTAATTTTTTGAAATTCCAACTGATTTTTTTTTCGATTATTTCAAATAATTTTGATATAGTAAAAGTTGTCAATAAAAAAAAAGCGCGACACGCCGTAGTTTAGAAGGAAGAAAATATAAAAATATGGTGCAAATACTTGACAATTAGAAGGAAAAATTTTTGAATAACACCAAATGTTACAATAGAAATTATATTCCGTATATAAAAATTCAAGTTGAATAAAATTGAAGGAAGTCAGAACTAAGAGAAAAAAATTTAATGGGTGAGTAATGAAGGAGTAATGGAGTAAACGGAGGGAAGAAAAATAAACAGGAAAAAAAATTATGTATAGAAGAAAAAAAAAAAAGAGTGGCGATGTTAAAAATTTGGGCGTTAGTTTATACTGTAAATGGGAAGATTACTCTCCAGTTAGTAAGTTATATATATATAGAAGGGTGGCTAGATATACAGTTATCCTTGATTTGTATAATTTATATAAAATAAAAATAAATAAAATAAAATAAATAAATAAATAAAATAAATAAAAATAAAAAAATAAATAACAATTACACAGAGTGTACGATAAAGTTATGACAATAGATCAAATTATACTTGACCAAATATTGAACACAAAAAAAAAATACACCAGTGCATAGTTATCCAAATTTGTAAAATTAGTTTACGAACAACTAAAATTTTATATTTTTGTTTACTAAATTATAAACATTAAATCAACATTAAATCAACATTAATTCAACATTAATTCAACATTAATTCAACATTAATTCAACATTAATTCAATTGTTTTACTGCATATTTCATATATTATTATCATCATCACACTTTCCGAGAAGAACGACTGAGATGAAAATATATTTCTACAAAGTACCAATCATTTTTATTTAAATTCATCTTATTCACTTTATTCGGTTTTAATATTCTGCTTAAATATTTTTTAAAAATTTTAAAAAAAAATTTAATATAAAAGTATTTTTAATCGTTTTATTTAATTGAGAATTTTAATAGATATAATCTGGGAAAATCCGAAAATCTTTGTTGGTTGGTACAATATTTCTAGAAACAATTAATAAGAATAACAATGAACGACGATTAACATAAACCTGTTCTGGTACAGCAAATAATATTAACAAATATACCGAAATATCGGTAATTGTTTTTGAAATCTTATTTATTAAATTGAATCAAAATTTTTTTTAAAAAAAAAATTAATTTTTAACGAAAATTAAGATTAATTAATTTAATAAAAATAATCACTTCTGATTATCCTGTTATTGTTTAATTCAAAAATTATTCCAACTTGGACCGATTTCACTTTTTCAATAAATACAATTATGTTATTCAATAGTTCAACCAATTAGAGTCGCAATTAACCCATTTTCGCATATTGACTTGGCATTTTTAATGGATTGTTATTAATAAAGGCTCATTCAAAAATTCTACAGTAGGCCAAAAAAGAATCTTTTCGTTCATTGTACTTGGTTTTCGCACTGGTGTAGCTTTATTAATATTTTATTAATATAATGAAATAAAAGTAGAAACGTGTGGTAGTAGTGGCTGGTTTGTAATCATTGTCTAAAATGACTAGTATGAGGCCATATGGCATTTTTTTTATACATCGTTAACGAACCAACAGATATTAAATCCTTCTTCTATTTTTTTTTTTTTCTATGTCTTCTCTCTTCTCTCTTGTCACTTGTTGTCGTTTTCGAAAAGTACAATTAAAAGAATAATTTTACAAAATTCATTGACAATATGTTTTAGCAATCTTCTGAGGAGCAAAGGTATCGTTTTTGATAGATCTATGGTCATTCTTTTGATAGACTAATTTTTGAGTAACGTGATACAACTAAATATGTATTGTCACGTGATATATAGAATAATAAATCACATGGTATTGTTTTTGATATATTTATGGTTATTTTTTTGATATATAAATAAAACAATTATAAACATATCAAAAAATGACAATTTTTGTCACACGTATTTGATGTATCAAAAAAATAACCATAGGTGTCTCAAAAACGATACTTTAGCCACAAATGATACTTTAGCCACAAATGATACTTTAGCCACAAATGATACTTTAGCCACAAATGATACTTTAGTCACAAATGATACTTTAGCCACAAATGATACTTTTGTCACAAATGATACTTTTGCCACAAATGATACTTTTGCCACAAATGATACTTTTGTCACAAATGATACTTTTGCCACAAATGATACTTTTGCCACAAATGATACTTTTGCCACAAATGATACTTTTGCCACAAATGATACTTTTGCCACAA